GTGTAGGAAAGTTCCCCTTTCACCACAGCCTTGCCAGCACTTACCATTTTTGTTTTTGTTTTTGTTTTTTCAGTTCTTAGCTGATGGCAATACTGCTGACTCAGTATCTTCAGGGAGAATAAAATTCACTATTTGGAAAGAAAAAGTGATTTTACCTTTATTGTTTAAAATATAGTTTCATGTCCTATATTGATTATTAATAATTCATCTCAACATCAGGCACCAGCTTATGTGTGTTTCAATGGTTGATCTGAAGTGTTGTCAAATATTATATGTCTTATAATTATTTTCTCAAGAAAAGATCAATTGACTGGTATGACTTAAAAGATTCTTCTGATATAGTTGAAGAAAGTAGATGGTTCATAAAAGGATAGGCATGATTATTGTAAGGAGTCTTCACAAAGTTGATGGAAAGTACATATTATTAAAAAAATTTTTGTATTAAGTTTTGAAATTAAGTAATGGAAGTCTCCCAATATTGTTTTCAGAATTAATTGGAATATTCTAAGTCTTTTTTCATTTTTTCATATAGACTTTACAAAAACCTTACTAACGTAAAAAAAAAAAGAAATAAAGAAAGTAGAGCTATTTTTCTTCCTGAAGAATCATTAGTAATTCTTGTACAGAGTCTTACTGAATAAATATGTGTTTTGTTTGAATCTTGGGGTAGAAAATATATTAGTTCCAAGGAGTCCAGGCCTCACCATATCTGGCTTCCATCTCATTACCCAGTTTTGTAGACCACAAAAAGTGAGACTGTAAGAGTATTGTGAAGACAAAGCACATTTTCTTCTTTCCAAAGCAAAAGAGAATTTCTCAGGAGTAATTAAGCCATAAAGGAGAAATAATAATCCATAATATCTTAAAATTTTTTAAAAACATTTCAAAATTTACTAAAGCCAAACTGATACTTTAATTTTACCTAACAGGACCAGCAGATGGCATACTGGGTACATTGCTGGACTCTCATGTAGTTGACTGTGTTTGAGTCCCAGACCTGGAGGCTTGTGTGCCCCAAATCCTGGGGAGAATGGAGGAGAAAGGATTATGGTGTGGTCATTCCTCTCGGTGAGTGGTTTCTCACTTTCTGTTTCTCTCTCTCTCCAGTGAGCACCTGTGCCCTATATCAAAAATTTTTTAAAAAATGACCTAACAAGAAAAAAATTAAGAAATTGAGAGATTATTAATATATTCATTTTGTGTTTAAAACATGCTTGTTGGCCTTTGTAAGCCATACTTAAAAACTGGAGGATAAAGAAACAGGTCAGTCTTTATTTGTACATTTGTTGCTTTGTTTTTGTCACAGGGTATGTGTGTCTGCCAGAGAAAGACAGAAAGAGAAAGAGAGAGAAGGAGAGGGGGAGAGAGAAATGATCCTCCAATGGGATGTGGTATTCTATAATTCCTTTTTTTTCACTCATCTATGCCATTGGGATTTTGGACAGGCAGACACAGATGGCTTCATGTTTCGCAACTGTAGGACTGACATTCAAACAGCAGTTGACCATGCAGGACCTGGCTCTCTTAATCACTGCAATAAAGTCAGTCCTGTCATTTTTTTGCCTAAATTGTACACAGATTAATAATGAGAGATTTTTAAGCTATCTTGTTCTGAGATATATTGCTTGTTCCAACCACGGTCGTCAGAAACAGAGCCTTTCGGGACCAGCAGTTAGCGTAATGGCTATGTCACTGGACTCCCATGTAGTCAACCGCGGTTCGAATCCTGAACCTGGTGGCTTAAACTCACACCAGGCGTGTATTCATGCGTGCCCAA